TATATATATATATGGGTGTGTTTAAAAAGGAGTGACTAAATTTTTTTCTGCAGCTGAGCAACTAGTAATTTTTCACACGTAGTATAGTACTTAACCTTAGTAATTATGTAGCAGCTCGAGGAAATAAAAGAATCTTTCAGCATTCTATCGGAAGTTCAGAAGGAATTCAGGACGTAAACTGCCACAACTTCTGTCTCAATGCTTCCGTAATCGTGTTCAGTCATGTAAGTAGTATTATTGAATTCCCGTGGCATAAATCCGTGTAATTACTTGCAGCGAGGCATTAAGGTACAATTATGAATTCTTTTTTTCATCCAATGTATTCGAAGCTCATCGATGGTTTTTTATAGGAATAATGAAGTAATCTTTTTTTCTTCTTTGAACATAAGATGATGTTCAAATCTATCAAAATTTATATTTTTTTCTTAAAGTTCATAAAAAAAACATACATAGCCTTTCGGAATATTTTCAATCTTCAAAACGATGGTTAAACATTTAATATAAGATTAATAAAAACTTTAAAAAAGTTTAAAATACATACATTGTGTTCAATGAAGATCTCCCTTAATATGAGCTTAACTGAACACAATGTATATAATATTTTTAAGCATTTATGAAAATGACATTCAGTTCAGCTTTCATAACAATCAATTTTCATTTGAAAGTATTTTTGAAACACATTTTATAAATAAAAAAAAGAGTAAATAGTAGTAAAAATTATATATGTGGTTCGTTTGTGGATAAGCGATGGAAAAAAAATTATTTCAAAATTTGACAAATCACAATACCAGAAGGCAGACGAAATAAATATAGAGGAAAAATATGAAAATGGATTAAATAAACTTGTGTATTTATCATAATAATATATTAACTCAACTTCAGGCATGCATATATTTATTCCTCTAATTGGCTAACGCAGCATTGCGTTTCAGAATAAAATATAACTTCAAACATTTCTTGAAGACATATATATGAGTACGAAACAAAGCTGCTTTACTAATCACGTTGATCTAATTACATTAACTATTCGCGACGGCTCATAAATTCATGAAAGTTAATTTGGACCTAAAATATTTATTTTCCGCACAATATAAGGCTTATTACTTTACCAAATTACAGATTTACTAAGTTATGAAAAGGACTAATTTATCCGCTAAATCACTTCTCATGAATATAGAAAAAAAGGAAGAATTCTTAATGCAAAGGAGTTAAATTACAGTAAAATAGTTTTTGAAGCACGTATAGCTAAGGCGAAGATTACACCTGTTCTGACCGAAGAATATCCTACGGTTCACACGCAGCATGTGCCAGAAAATGAGAGCACTTTAACAAGCGCAATCACGCAATCTGTTTGGGATGGGTTCCTTTCAGCGTGTTCACAATCTCCCCCAATCGAAGAATTCTTAATGAGTGGAAGCATTTATCATAAAGATGAAGACGTCAAATATTTGAATTTCAAATTTTCAACAGTTATGATTGTCCTCCTTGGTACGTCCTTCAACTTTTCCGGAAAGTAAACTTAATTACGCAAGTTTGACGTTTGGTTTGGGAAATATTTCCATTCTGATTTTCAATTCACAGCGGGAGTTAGGAATTGGGAAACGGGAATTTTGCATTTTTTAAAAAGACTAGTTTAAGAAGATACAGGAAACGCCAACTTGTTTTTAAAGTAACTCTATCTAAATTACTCAATCGAATAAATGTCATTTTTAAGGTAATTTTTGAAAAAATCAAACATTTTGGTTTATATTGCTGAAATATTTTAGAAGAGAGTCCTTTTTATCTTGAAAAGTACTTTAATTCTGTTTTATACAGAAACTGGAAAATTTATGTAATCGCGAAGATAAAATAAACTTGAAAGTTTCTGGAACGGGGAATTCGTTTTTGATTAAATATACTAAGCCATATTAATCTAAGAAAGTAATTATTCTACATTTAATTCAGATTTATGGTATTTAATTTCGAGATAATGAATATAATCAACATACTGTTAAATATTAATTATTTTTTGAAATATATATATATATATATATATACTGGACAAGGACGATATTCCTTTAGAACAGTGTTTCCCAAACTTATGACTTTTGTGTACCCTTTATAAATTTTTCGTAATGCTGAGTNTGCAGTAAAATATATGGGATTTCATATATATATATATATATATATATATTTATTATATCTCAAAATATAATGAATATGTTTCGTGATAATTTGCATTGAAAAACACATTTAAGTAATAAAAATTGAGAAAGGTAAGTATTCATAATGATTAAAAAAATCTTTTAATTTTAAGAAACTGAAAATTTTTTAACGATTTAATTAATAGTTCTAAATGTTGCGTTTTAATACTGGTCTAAGAAAGGTAGTATTAGTTCCCCGAGTAAAACAGATAGAGGTGGCGGTGGAGTAGATTCGAGATAATGTAGCTTTTGGTAAACTGAGCTGAGCTATCATGAATATATTTTCTGATTCTCATATAGTTTAACTGTGTAGTATTTGTTTGAATCAACTTTAGCTCCATATTTGTTTATCTGGTGCAGTTTTCCCACATTACATATTAGCACCAGAAAAAAATACAAAAATTAGAAAGAGTGCATATTGCTCAGTGAGCCTGAATAATAGCATTGCATCTTCATTTCAAGGTCAAAGTAATCTTGCAACCCCAATGCAATTTAATCTAATATGATTCAATTTATACCAATGAAATTTAATTAGAAGTATATGAATTCATTGAACAATATCCTGTGTGATTCAATTGAGCACACTTCAATTCTATGATTTTTTTCTAAAAAAAATATATTTAGTGTACAATAATGCAATCCAATTGCATACTATGTTAAAAAAAATAATTTAAAAATAAACACTTTTTATTGAATTTAGTGTAGACAAATTTATTGTAATTTCGATTTCTGTTATTCAATACAATGCAAAACAGGGTGTTTCATTTTCTATGAGCTTCATTCGCCACGAGCATTCATCATTGCGAAAGTTATGATGGTTGAATACAGGTACGCAGCTGTCCTTGAGAACCATGTCCACCCTTACCTGGAAATTGTTTTTCATCAGGATAATGACATCTACTAGCAGGAGTAAGTGACGTGTCATATATTTCGTTGTGTGCGTGCGTAGTTCAAAGGATGAGCTTACCGTACTCACCTGGTTCTCAAATTCCACAGGCTTCAACTAAATCGGGGATGTGTGACACTGCCTTGAACCGGTAGTTTGTGCTATGGATCCTCAATTGCGTAATCTAGCTTAACCTTTAAGAAATTAATAGATTCTCTTTCTTCACTTTCTTCACTACGCATATGCACTATGTGTAAAATACTTTTAAGTATTTCAAAATCTGCTCCTCAAATGTATGTTTCCTTCTTCATCATACAAGAAAAATGAACATGGCTGGGGTAGCCTCGTTGACAGGGTGTTGGACTCAAGCTCATGAAAATGAGAGTTCAAATCCTGCAGACCGAAGACTCCGAAGAAGAGAAAATAGTGATTGGGGCACGTTAAATCTACCGGGTCAAAATGTCCTCCACGTTCCCTTAAAAAAATTATACTTAAAGGAGTACTGAATCGGAGATCGATTGTTCCCTGATTTATGTCAAAATTATGATCTGTGGAAGAATGAATGGATGTATGAATGGGTCAGCCCTATAAACAGGTTTGACGCATGGGTGTGACAGAAGTCAAGTTCCTCGCCATAGCGAGCTCTACTGGTAAACAAGAACAATCACACTTCCTCTCCCTTAATGGCTGACGAAAACAATATATATATATATATATAAGTTCAAAATGAAGAATAAAACAAAGAAAAATTATACACATATGAAAAAAAGGGGGTGGGAAATAATAAGTAAAAAAAATAACAATTCTTAATAANTCCCGTAAGAAACTGGTTTATGAAAAAAATCACAAAGATATATATATATATATATATATACTCACTGTCACTGATATAAAAATATTTAATGAATTTTAAATAGTTAATCTGATCATGTAAATCATAATAGATTTATTAAGTATAAAAACAAGAAAACAACTATGAGAAATATTCAAATTATTGTTTTTAAAACTCGAAAAATATTTATTCATATCATATGTTATCATATCACCCATATCATATTTATTCATTTAATATTTCAGCTGATTGCGACATACATCGAAAGGAGAGCAGAGGACCTTACTTTACAAATGAACCTCCATCACGTGTAGTATTCTCAAATAGTAGTGGTGCGGAAATCAAATGCAGTGCTGACGGTGTCTCATTTCCCAGTACAACTTGGATAACAAGAGATGGAATGACAGCGAAGGATATTTCAGGAATCAGGCATGTACGACCGGATGGAACATTGATATTTCCACACTTCACCAGGAATAGTTACAGAGAAGAAGTGCAAAACGCTGTTTATCAATGTTTGGCATCGAATTCAGTTGGCTCTGTCTTAAGCAGAGAAGTGCATGTCACCGGGGGTAAGTATAGGTCTTTATAGCATGTTTAATTCCAAAGTGCATGGGTATTTATTCGATATTTAAGGTAGAGAACTATAGGATGAAAATTCAAAATTTAATTTATTTTACATTTTAAAATACTTTTGTAAACTATAAGACAATGCGTTAATTTTCATCAAAGACTTATTTTATTAAAGTATATGTGTTATACATGGTATTATAGTATTGGTAGTTGATGCATACAGTAAATGTTTGCCAAAAAAATGAAATTAATTGGCTATATCATGTTAATACAGGATTTCCTAAATAAATATTAATGCAGTGTTAAATTGGTAAACTGATATTTTTTTTTAAAATTTATATCAATAATACTTTTGAAAAATGCATAAGAAATAGACAAATAATCCTCAAAATAATATTATGTCGCAAAACATATTGTTTTTCTTTCACAATTCCTGAATTTAGTTCAACAGCTTCCCGACAGATAGCGCAAAAAAATTCAAAGCATTTTTTTTCATATTCATTTATTTATTTATACGTTGCGTTTCGTTTTATGAAAATTTCGTTACCTGATTGCAAAATGTAATAAAGTATGGTGGGTAAGATGTCAACATTACCTTAATGGGATTTTTATTCACCGTAAGAAATTTAAATATGGTGATATATTACGTTTTTTTTATTTTGTAAATTTTTCGCTTGTTACACCATCTTTGCAAAAATGTTTGAGTTAATAACAGGAGCCGTTTGAAAAACAATTTTAGCTCCAGGTTAATTAAGTTTGATTTATATTTATAACAACACTGCTGTAAAAAACTGCAGTTAAATCTAAATAAATATTTTTTTAAAAAAAGAAAATGACATTTCTTTGTATAAAAATTTACTTAAAAAATTTTAAGATTTCCACGTATTTAATTAAACGTGAAAGAATATTTTAAATGTTTCAAATAATTTAAACTCAGAGTTTTCTATAGTAATTATCTTACTTTTGGTTTGCGTATGAAGTCAAAAATAGAACTACAAAAATGACAATATATATTGATTTTCATGGAGCACTCAAAAGCGAAATCTATTTATAAAGTTATTTCCTCAAAAAATTTCTTATAAAACTTCTCGCTATTTCAATTGAACGCAAATTAATTCAATGCATAAATGTTGTAAATCTGTGGCAGCATAAAGTTAAAAAGAAATGAAGACAGTAAAGGCTTTTAATCAAGAAATAATCACTTTTAGGCTGGTGACAATTTTCTTCTCGAAAAATGTTACAATTTTTCTGAAAGAGATTTACTTCACTAACTTAATTACGCTGTCACATTATTGCACAAAATCCTTAGTTACGGTATAAAAGAATAGAAACAAAAACGTTAATGAACGCAAATAAAAAAAAAACTGTAAAAACCACCGATACAATTTGGCAGTTTCTAAAATGCCTTCAGTCCTTTGAAAAAAGATAAAGCAGAGTTTAAAAAAATTAAGCTACAAAAAGTATAATAATTTAAGAAATAATGTGGTTAAATTTTTAATTAGGAAAACCTAACATCTAGCATTTTAAGATGAAAGAATTATTTTCAAAATAAACTAATTTAAAATTTTAATAGTATATATATCAAATTAATTGTTGTAACTTAAATACTTAATTTATATTATATTTATATGTAGTTTCAGATGAGTGTTTAAATACATAGATGAAAGAAAAATCATGGATTAGCTATTCTCAATAAAAGCAATTAAAAAAAGTTTGTCCAAAAATATAACCTTCTAAGTTCTGAGGGATTATAATCTTGGTATGAGAACCAGACTTGGAATTTCTGATTTTTTTTATCTTAGAGGAGTTCTTTAAAAAGATTACATATGAATTTGAGGAATAAGTTCCTAATTATTGGAACAATGAAACGACCGCAATAGTACAGGATTTGTTTTTTAAAATTTTGAGTAAGTGGCTATTTTTAATCAAGATCAAACATTAAACTGACGAAATTTAAGTTAATTTAATCCTTATTTTGCTATAAAATATGGAAATACGTGAACCATAGGCCGTTAAAAATTTTCGTTGCCGTGTTTTAAATCTAGCTTTACCAATTTCAAAACTATTGCTAACCACTCAGTATGATAAACTATTTGCTTCCTAAGGTTAAATGCTTCCAAGCATTTCTTATTCTGTAAACATCTTTAAGTTCAAGTATATTCCAATTCTTAAAAGAAAATATTTACGGCCGCAGTTATCTATATGCTCAAGAATCAAAAATTCTAATAAAATTACCGTAAAGTGAGGTAATAATATTTCTGTAAAAAAACAGAACTTAATTCTTCCTATTAAAAGGAAAATATACGACATGTAATTCTTTTTTCTGGTAATTTTCCGTTATAGGTAATTTTCCGTTAGCAGTTTACGGAAATTCTGTTTCTTAAAATTATAATTCTTATCACCGTACAATTGATAACAATTCAAAACTGAAAAGTAAGTCTTACTAAATGCCATTTTATGCCATGCTCTCAGGTATATATTATAAACATATTATAAAATCATAGTTTATTAATTTTACCAAAATCATTACCGAAGTCCTTCTGTAAAAATTGCCAAAATATTTGTTTGTCCCCTAGAACCAAAAACATAGTAAAATTTACCGTATTCTGGTAGTTTTGACTGAACTTTTTTTTCTTTGATGTCCGTCAAAAATGTTTAAACAGAATTAACTGTGATGAAAAGGGTTAAACATTTAAGTCATTTGAGTCGATATTGAGCCCTATATATACCCTATCTTCTGAAGATAAATTTGGGAATATTAAGCTTCAAATATAAATAACAAATGTCCTTAATTTCTTAAAACATCACTTTAATGATATTTCATTCAGTTTAACATATCTGCAACAAACTTTGCAATTTATTGATTAATAAAAACTAATGCATACAAAATGCAAGTTTTATTTTTCAATTATACTAATCAAATTGAAACACTCATAAGAAATTTCTGCAACTTTTTCCGTGTCTCCTTGATAAAGCTTCTATGGGATCAAAGTTGATTTGATACGTTCCTTAATGCACTTTTATTCTACTTTTACGAAGAATGCAAAGAAAAAAAATAAATAAACAAATTAAAAATGAATCGATTATCGGATAGCCCCAATAGATAAGATATTCTTTTAAAACCGAATCCATGTTGTGTAATTTTGTTATTATTTTTGAAAACGATGCTATTTTTCAAAAAAAATTATTTTGCTTTTAATTTTAAGATTTTCAATATAATATACTATTTGTATACAGAGAAAAACCAAATTTCCTTAAATTTTTATAGTTGTTTATAGTGTTCTCAAAACTTTAAAATCTTGAATAAAAATTAAATAAATCCATGTACAAAATATTTATTGCTACTAAAACTGTTTCACTAGAGGGCAGTAAGTTGAAAATAAATAAACGAATATTGTTTATTTCTATTCACTAATGGATGTAATGTACTTAATATGAGGCATCTAATAAAACATTATGTCTTTTGCTTAAAGAAATACAGTATTTCGGAACAATTTCTATGTTATTTTCAACTTTTTCAACACGCAAAAATGAAATCATGAATATATTTTATATTTACGAAAAATAGCTGAAATACCATTAATGATTTCATTGCGTTTGATTTTTCTTTCAGTTAAGTTGAATAATTCAGGTTCTTTTTCTCATAGAATAAGGAAATATTTAAAATGAAGAATATATCCATAAATATTGTAGCAAAGCATTATAAGTGGTATAGTGTAATCCATTTTTGCGCGTAGGTACAGATTTTACAGAAAATGTGACAAATTATAAGCGCGTAAAATTAGTAAAATAATTTCTTTGTAAATGCCAATAAAAAAACTATTTCAAAATACTCTACATACTCTGTTAAGCTATAAAGCAAATATTTTTAATATATTTCATTCATGTTTTACTATTTGTCACTACTTATCAAATTTTTCAATCTATATTTTTTCAGTGGTTTATCTTAATACAATAAACTTAAAAATTGCAAAAATTAGCTTCTAAATTACAAAAACTAAAAAAGTAGGTTCTAATTTCTGTGCTTTATTTTATCTTTGCTTTAGAATATTTAAATTTTAATTTATCAAAGTATTACTGTGGTTGAATTTACGAGTACACTGACTTGTGCAGAGCCTGAAGAATTGAAAGAATTTCGAATGTTAAAATTTCAAATGATTTCTATTTTTTCAAATCTAATAAAGAAATTTATTGATTTTCTAGAATACACGATTTTTGCTTTCAAAATGTCTGCTTAATAAAAGTATTAGTTAAAAAAACTCATTTTTTGACTCATGTTAAATCCGGGATCAAAATCTGTATAATCATACAACTAGAAGTAAAATATTTTTTCTTCATAAGTTAACAAAAATTAAACACGTGATTGTAATTAAATGGTATTTATGAAATGCACAAGTACGCCTTAAAATATATTTATTCAATTTAATAACAATTTAAAACATTCCATTATTCAGCAACGGTGTGAAATAAAGGAAGGCCGTTAATGGACGAATATAAGGAAACAAAGCACTGATACAATTAGTAAATTTCTAAAATACCTCAAGTGCTTTAAAAACCTATATGCACTTTTATTCTACTTTTACGAAGAATGCAAAGAAAAAAAATAAATAAACAAATTAAAAATGAATCTATTATCGGATAGCCCCAATAGATAAGATATTCTTTTAAAACCGAATCCATGTTGTGTAATTTTGTTATTATTTTTGAAAACGATGCTATTTTTCAAAAAAAATTATTTTGCTTTTAATTTTAAGATTTTCAATATAATATACTATTTGTATACAGAGAAAAACCAAATTTCCTTAAATTTTTATAGTTGTTTATAGTGTTCTCAAAACTTTAAAATCTTGAATAAAAATTAAATAAATCCATGTACAAAATATTTATTGCTACTAAAACTGTTTCACTAGAGGGCAGTAAGTTGAAAATAAATAAACGAATATTGTTTATTTCTATTCACTAATGGATGTAATGTACTTAATATGAGGCATCTAATAAA